ACTGAGGCGACACCACTTCTCCAACGATTCCCGAGGTATCAAGGCAATGATAACCACTATCGCACCAGGGCTGTTGTCAGCTTGCTTCTTCTAATACTGCTATCTGGCATTGTCATTGGCACATATCTCCTGATCATCCAAAGCAGATCAGGTGAATATTTTATTAATAGATACATTATGATTCTCAAAAACACGCGTGTGAAAATTTAGTGTGATTTTTACAAGTTGTGGCGAATTTACAAAATATGCTTGCTTCTTATCTAAAACATTATATCAAAGTATGTTTCCTGTATATGTTATTTTCAATTGCAATGCATTTACAGTACTGAATATTTTTAACAGACTTTTTGGGTATATATCTGCAGTGTGGCTAATAACATTTAGGCTTGAGTTACCTTGCTCTTGCGAGTAATTTTCCTTCCTCTGTTTGAACTTATAATGAATATCTTTGCTGTAACTGCGTCATGGACTTTTCCATATTGTTAAAAATTCTTTATTCAAATACAACAATTTGTTTACACAATATTGACGATATTGTAAATTTACAGAGAATGTGCTACCTCCAATTGAAGAGCCGGAGCGTTATGTTAGCCGTCTTCAATGGGATAAGAATAAGGAAGTTAATCAGTTAAATCTTGTGCCACAGTTGAAGAAAGATACTGTCATCATTGTTCAAACGGATACAGAACAATGTGACGGTATAAAAACTTGTTCTATGCTACTGAACTCAATGCAGGTAAATATGGGGAAGATAAAATAGTTTTTTTTTAGAGTTTATATAATCTTAACAAAATAAAATTGTTTTAACTTATTATTACTACTTACATAATTAAAAGGGAATTTTTAAATTTTAATGTTCATTTGACATTAAGTGAAGCATAGAAATTAATTCAATATTAAATACTAATTATTTATTTTTAGGAAAATGGAACTCTTCTGCAATATAACTTCTTGGTGTCACCCGATGGAGAGAGCTTTGAAGCACTGGGATGGCGAAGAAATTCAATCATTTTTCCCAAGTACTCTACAAATGCTTTAGTCCTGGCATTTATAGGTAAAATGTTCTTTATTTTCATTTGTTCTATGCCATACAGATAGATGCTCTTTGCTCGATGAATAGTCTTTATTTACTTTTTTGGAAAACAAGTTATAATATTATATAATTATTCTATGTACAGGTAATTACACACAAGAAGCACCGTCATCTGCTCAAGTTATGCAAGCCAAAATATTTCTAGAAAACTCCATAAGTCAGGAACATTTAGATTTAAATTTCAATATAATCGGTAAAAAGACTAAAGAGTTTCCAAAATATTTGTTCTTAGAGTTAAGTAAATTGCCGCAATGGAATAAACAGCTCTCCGATATGGATTGAGCTGAATTGTTATTGTGATTACGTATTTGTTATGTTCTCAAGTTGTCAATGAATCTCTATATAAGGAGTTATTAGATTTTATTTTAAGTCATAAACGTAATATAAGAAAAACTTTAGTGAGATTAAAAATGTTATTTTTCGTTATGTTTATTTTATTTTTATATGATTTTTTTTTACTTTATTTGTGGATACATGGGCGTTACAGCAGGCTGTTGGATATGTCTGAGTGCTGTTATGTCGGAGTAGGAGAGTCTCGGCCGTTTTGTGTTGGAGTCG